CCGTAAAACAAGGCCCTCAAATGAATGCACTGAATGTTGAATCACCCTGTATAAGCTCCTAACACATGCCTCTCAAAATTGTTTTTTTTTAAATAGCTTTTAAAGCACTTAGTGTAATTTTATATTTTTTCAGATGGTAAATACTAACTAGTATTTTGCTGCCTTCCTTAAAATAGTGCCTGCTTGAGTGAGTCAGGCATCGTCTAGTTTCTACACATAAATGCTCATATTCTTAACATCCTGTTTGATAAAAACACAGCAAAACTTACCGATTGCTTGAAGCTTAAGCTAAAATATGTACTTTTGTTTGACATCAATAGAATAATAATGATAATAACCGAAAGTTCACTATAACCGGGTTCATTATAAGCGGAATTTACTGTAATAAACATATTGTACAGGGTGTTTAAACACTGTCAGTTTTCCTTGGTCAAAATTTAAGTTTTTGTGGGCAATATGGGGTCATATCAGCTTCATGTCTTTTGAGTAATTTGGATCTTTTATCAGTAATATTCAGGCTCAAGTAAAGTAATATTTAGTGCATAATTTAATATAATTATGTTCATCTATCTTTAACAGCGTACTGTATAATTAAACTTATTAATAAGAAATTTAACTACATACATCCAGTGATGCCTTGATCTTTTGGCGCGAGGGTAAGAAACTAAACTTGTTGGTTGAATAACGAATTTCTATTTTAGTCACTTTGTCTATCTATAAAAGGAATCGCTTATAGCCAACAAAAAAATAATTTGAGGAAAAAATACGATTTTCCAGATTTTTTCTGTTTTCCAGTTTTCTGCAGATTTTCGAGACGTATTTTATTTTATCGACTGTTATTTTGCCAATGTGTTAGACCTGAAAACGGCAAACTCTTTTTTTGTCGCAACGCAGAAGACCGCAATCACCTATTTCACGGAATTTTCTATTGGTCAAAGTTTGCGAACATTTGGGTCGAAACGAGAAGCGTAATATTGGCAGGAAAAAATATATTCTGAGGTGAAAACAATATTGAATGAATGCTTCCTTCGAAATTAATTTAGTTTTTCACATAGGTAAAAATTTATTTTTTATCAGGATTAACTGAAAACTTGAGTAAATAACTACACTTGTACGTAATTTCAATTCAAAGAAATAAATCAGACAATAAAGACCTGAAACTGAGTTTTCAGGAATGTTTGTTTTTTTGTCATTCCAACATCCGCCTCAGCAGGAACGAAACAAAATGGCCACCAACTATTGATTATTTGCAGGTAAACCTGCAATTCGCAAAAAATAGGCCAAAACCGAAAATAACTCGATGTTTCCACCCTGAACATTGATTTGCACAATGTTATACTCACATATTTACTACTGTAACAGATGTAGATTTCCTGATTGAGTTAACACTTTAACTTTTGCAGATGAAAGTCGATAAGAACGTCAACTCTGAAAAAAACAGCAGTTTTTCAGTAAAACATTGAATGAAATCGCCAGGAAAATTGGTATTAAATTAGGTAAATGATCAATGAATTTTCGTATAAATCCTCAAAATACAGCTGAATAAACAGGAAAAGTGGCAGGAAAATAACTTACCTCTCGAACGTTCAAGTGAAAATAGTCAAATACTACTGACAGCTGTGGGGTCAGGAGTGAGGGCAGGCCTTTAGCACAAATGTACATTCCTTACAAAAAAATTTACGTTAAATTCCGCATCAAATGTTCAAACGAGTAAAAAATTACTGCATATATTTAAATTTCTGCGAAGAAATTTGTCACCAGGTCTGACGCTTTTTGAAGCCAAATAGTTCTAATTTATTAACTGTTTCTATCTGAAGTTCATTATTAATTTCATTGTTTTCAGGACTATTGAAGCAATTTTTTTGCATTTTTCTGTGTAAATGCATTTATTGTTAGCCGTGGAAATAAACATAATCCCCGAGCGAGTCAACCCAGAGTCAAGGGAGAGTCTTCTCTCCTTCTTCTCTTCGCCTCTGAGTCAACGTGCCATTATGGTGCCATTCAATCTAGCTTTTCATGAACATAACCCATAGAGTAAGTAAAATAATTATTTTACTTTCTCTATGACATAACCCCTTTTGATTTGTGTTGTGTCAACAGCACAGACTACATACTATTCAACAGTTTTATTTATATGGATTTTGATAGTTTTTTACGGGTTTTGTTCTTCTAGTTTTTAAGCTACGAGTCTTCGGTAATTCCAACACTTAGTGTAGAAATTTAGGGTGATTTTGAATAACTTCAAACTCCGATATGGCTTTATCCGCACTCAATTCCGCAGCCCTAAGAGACTGCTTTATGAACATAATACGTGGGAATAAGATTAGTTTGGACTTAAAGGAACTTGAGCAAATGATAAGCCAGGACTTCCAGATTAATTCTGTTAATTCCGAGCTGGCGAGTGCTTTGCCATACTTTTTAGTGTTCAAGATGGAAAACTGGCCTGGTTGGGACAAATACCCCCAATATATGAACAATAAGCTCATATTGAATGACTGGTTTGAGGAGTTTGTTAAATTTCTTCATAGCAAGTTGGATGAAGCCGTTCACATACATTACAAAAGCATTGTAAGCAATAAAGAAAGTTGCGAACATGCAAGCGCCCAAACGGAAATGGGTTGCAAAAGCTTTGCCCCTTATTCGATTAATGTTAGAGGAAACCCATCACTGTTAAACACCTTGATTTTCGAAAATGTAAATGATAAAGATGTTAAATTGATAACGCACGATGCAATGGATTCCGAGGCGTTTCTGCAGATGTCTCTCAGTACGTTATTAAATTGGCCTTTTGCAGGAGTCCATCTTTTTTGCCCAGTATTCTGCATATCTAGGAAAAATGTACATTTTTATGACAGACATCTCAGCTTAGGAAATGATAAAATGCTCACTCCAGTTCAAGCTGTATTTATAGAACGTGCCGAAAGGAACAAACTTTATGTTACCATTGATACAGTTATGGAGCTCTACTCCACCCTGAATGTACTCATCATGAAAGCATTCCCCCCATCGACTAACTCCAATTTTAAAATTTTTGCAGTAAGTTTCTTGCAATAAAGCACCGTTTAATTCACTGATTTTACTGGTTTCTTTTATTTAGGTTTTGTTAGAAGAACTAATGGCGGATATCAAAGACATCCAGATGTTAGAACAAGGCAAACCGTCAATAGGCTCATTTGTTCGGTTCAACATAGGCAAGCATGTTTACGTGAGATCGAATTCGAATAGTGGATGTACACAACCTGTGGCCTGCTATACTGAAGTAACTACACCCATGGTCGAAATAGCTATTAGACGAATGGGCACTGCGAAAGAGATAAACTCCTATATCGGTAAGAAATTTATCCTTTGCCATTTAGACTTACTGACAGAGCGGTTCGCACAAGCTGGCCAGTAAAATCTAATCAATATCAAACCAACATCAATTGATTTACTATTTAAAAAGTCTCTGTATGGTTTTCTATGTACTTATATGTGTGTTGAGGTAGGATTCTTGAGGAAACATTGAATGAACTTTGCTATAAACGATATTCAAACAATCGTCCTCATATTTTTGATAGTCCTTAAGAGTTATCACTTATGAAATTTCGTTAAGAACTCCTAAACGATAGCACAAAATGAAATCTTGACAAATTGGTGCATGTTTTCATCAGGTGAAAGTCATGCTCTCAGCATATCGATCAAACCTTCGAACAGAAATGTCGAATGTTGATTTCTAACTTGAAAATGTTTTATGAGCTTTTTTTCATGTAATCATTTGGATTATAGCTTTTTTGAAGCGTTTCTTAGCTAGCCATATTTTACTATACAGTCATGCTCTCTATCTTATTAAGACCGGAGTTCACTTTATATTTCTTCTGATTTCAGGTTCTTTGAATGGCGCAGACATTTCGCTTACTAACGTACCAAGCGTTTACTTCAGCTGTAACTTCTGTAGTGTAACGTTCCATTGTTCCCAATTGCTCCTCAACCACTTTATCCATATACACAAAATGACGCCTCCGATGAAATGTTCAGCATGTGGAGTTACGTATAACGCAGTCGAATTAGCTGAAAATAGATGGGGACATCCATGTGCAAGTAAAAGTAATAATGGATCATGTGTTCAATCATGAAGGGATTACATCAACAAAGTAAAAAATTGCACCGAAGAACACCAACTGTCTAATAGAAAAAAAAATCAAAAAAGCATATATCTATTTTTGGATTGGTATAACCGAGTTTCATCTACTAGTAGCAGCTCGAACTTATTAACCCAAACTCAGAATTTAAAATTTTTACTATTCCTGCTGTTTTGTTTGAAAATGTGATGCAAACTGAGTGAGTTCACATGTTTTATATTTTCTGGTTTGGGTCTAGTCTAGTTTTTTTGGGTCTGTTACTACCCAACTTTTTTGTTCTTTATAAATAAAAATGCACATTTGTATTCTACCACCAATCTACTAGAAAGCTGTTGAGTTGAAAATAGCTGCAATACATTCCATTAAACGTTGAACGTTGTGATCATTTCACCCTTATATTATTCTACTGACACAATAGATTTAATGGTGTATATCTGAGTTTCCTGTGCTATCTGAGCAATATGTATTACACTTTTTACTACATTTTTCATTGATATTGAGAACTTGTATCAATATGTATAGAGCAGAAAATATTAAACAATTGCTTCTCGATCTGATTTGAAGTTTTGAGCAACTATTGTACTTATTTGTTTTCTTTCGATTTAATGGATTATTTCTAGCTTCTTTAGGAATATCGTTTATACGATTCACTTTTAATTTTGTTGAACATTGTTTTCAATTTATTATTGACTAATGACAATGATTTTTAATTTTATATACGTGGACATACTGAATATAATAAGCACTATTGTATTTGAATACTAACTAGAACTGGTGTATTTGAATAAAGGGTTAATTTGTAACCTGTTTATAGTACATGTTTCCTATGTTGTTAAAACCCGTTTTCCACACAATGTATAATGTAATTTTCATAAACGTTTGCAGTACTTTTATAGGATATTGCAAACGCTTCATGAAATGGGCGGCATCCGTTAACAGCGGAACAAGACATTTCGCTTATTATATGGGAAATCGTGTTAAAACACCTAGCACCACAATTAGAGGAAATAATCGGATTATTTCTGCCTTTTTAACTGCATTAAGGCGCACTATACAGAGTGAGGAGTTTGTGAATGTCAGCGAACTTATCCAAAATGCTCTAAAATTATTTCGAATTTTAAGAAAACTTTCAATATGAAAATATGGAATCTTGAATAAATGAGTGGTCATTTTGGAAGAATTTGCAGCTTCAAGGCGGTTTGAACTCACAAACTTTTTGCTCCATGATTAAGTCGTAAAAGCACTAGCTGAGTTATATTTATTTACGCGAGCGTTCAAAAAGCAACTACAAATACAATGGTATGCTTGGGAAAGAAATTTAAAAAAAGTAAAAGAAAAATTATCTATGTTCTGAAACTATTTGTACACTCGTTTACCCTGCATAACCGCTTATACTGAAAGTAAAAAGTTCAGTTTAAGACCATTCAAAAACATAGTAAGTTTTTGAAGCGATTTTATTTGCGTCTGTTTCAAGTCAGGATTGAATAATTGTAGTCGTCTAATCAACGAATTTAAGGCTTATGTATACACTTAATTAACACATGCGAATGTCACTGAATAAATGCAGTCTGATCGAATTGCTGGCGCAGGAAGTCGTCGGATGCCATAAAAAATTACAGCTAAACCGCATAAAGGGAAGGTGATAGCGGAAACTAAGCCACAAAACCGGACTTGGAACTTCTTTTTAACATGGTAGTTGCATTAGGCATTCTGCGTATTTTTTATGGCTACTGGTTATATACATAAATCTTTTTATGTTAAATGTAGGCACCTTTGCATAAAATGGTACGGTACTAATCGTCTTCATATCTCATAAACTTGCAAATCTAAATATTATTTGGCAAGTTTCGATTTTTGCACGGTTTAAATGAGCTCGTTTCTCATGAGTTTCTTATCAATGCAATCAAATCA